AGAAGCCCAGGCATAGCACCGAGCTTTTCCGGATCAAGGACCGACATGGCCACAAATTACCAGAGAAAACTGGGCACTACATGGAAGGCCAAGCCTCTGTCGTGGGGTTGCCCCCAAAGACAGGACTGTCTCCCTCGTCCCCTTCCGTCCTTCTGAAAATGCGCTCGGAGGACCTTCTCTTCTCGTCTGCGCCTGCCTTTATTGTGAGCTCATCCCCCGCACGTCATAACCTGCTCCTCTTCCTCAACATGTCACGGGGCAATTCTCGTCGCGTGCAACAAACATCCCTTTCCTACCTACATCATCAGCACGGGTGACTTGTCGCTTCAACATATGTACGAGTGAAAGCGGCCAGTACATTTTGACATACATTTGAGACATCGACTCAGCACTGCACCCGCCCCTGCCGCAGACGCCTGTACCTGTCACTGTGCTGTACCTGGGAGGGTCTTTTCTCGGGGACCACGCATTCCCACGTCCCGCCCGCCTCAATCTGCCCTCCACCCTCCACCAAAGATCCGCTTTGCTGCACCAGGCCAATCGATAAAGACTCTTGTTGAGATCGCTCGCCACCTCCGCCCCAACACCACGCACCCCTCGGCCGTCGCCGGGCTCACTTGCAAAGACTCGAGCCAATTGATCAGAGACATCTTCCCCTCGTGGGCCTACCTGCGAACCCATTCGCAGCGGCCAATCTCCATCCCGCGAGGTTCGATCAAACTTCAGCGACAGACTTTCATCGAAAGCCCAAACAACAACAAAAAGGGCGAGCGGCCCACCTCTTTTGCTTGAACAATTCCGAGACGCAAGCCCGGTCGCAAACGGCCATGGAACCCCTATCAAACATGGCCGCCATGTCATCGCCATGCGTGTGCACTGTTCAGGACGACGAGTCTGTCGGCCAGTCCTCCGGCGCTCAGCTTGACCGCGGCCAGATGCTGCAGCGCCGTCGTCACTCCTTTTTTCTTCCGAGGCGGAAGTCGATTGTCGGACACATTATGGAGACTGAGGAAGGCCTGCTTCTCAAGGTGGGAAGACAACTACAGTTCGCAGTGATACACGAACTCTTTGCTGATTTTCGTGCGTCCTCTTAGGTGGACCTCTTTCTCTCCGAACTCGAGCGACGACTTGATTTCATTGAAAACTATGGCGATCTGACACTCGACTCGAGTATCTCCCGCGCCTTCTCCACCCTGCAAGCGGTGCGCGCGAGATGCTCTCAGGCATCAGAGGAGGTTCTGGGCGAGGGCCGTCGAAGGCTGCACCTCATGGTCGAGACACTCGAGGCGAGGTATCAAGAAGGACTCGCTTCGGCCGAATCCCTGAACGAAAAGGCGCGCCTCGGCATTGAGTTGCTCGACGGTATGCTCTCCGATTTTGAGGGTCGCGCATACAAGTTCCGCGAGGATGGTTTTGCCGGTGCCGCCGATGCAGCCGGGGCCATCATGTCTGAAGGTCGCCGTGTGGTTGACGAGAGCATGCATCGCGCTCGCGAGGTTGTCGACGAAGGTATCGAGCGCGCAAAGCGGGCCGCCATGAGCTTGGAGGAGAAGATTGAGTACGCCGTCGGACGAGCCCGAGAGACCGGCTTGATCGTGTACGACGACCTGCCCGTGCCGTGGAGGGTCAACCCTCACATCAGAAAGGGCTACCGGTTCACCGAGTCCAAGATTGAGTGTATCACGTCCGCCTTTGGCCTATCCAACGAGCTGTTCAACATTTGGTCGCATGCCATCGGCCTCGTCATTGTCCTGGCTGTCGCCCTGTACTTTTACCCCCGCAACACCAATTTTACCCTCAGCAGCAAATCCGACATATTCATCGCCGCCGTCTTCTTCTTCACAGCCTGCCTGACGCTCGTCTGTTCGACCATCTGGCACACGATGAATGCCGTCGCTGACGTCAATGCCATTTCCCTCTTCGCTTGTGTCGACTACACCGGCATCTCTCTCCTCATTGCCGCCTCCATCATGACGACCGAGTACACGGCATTCTACTGCGACCCCGTCAGCCGCTGGTCCTACATGGTCAGCACCGCTGCCCTCGGCATCATTGGCGTCATTCTGCCCTGGCACCCGACCTTCAACAAGGCTGACATGGCCTGGGCACGCGTCGCCTTCTTCGTCGGCCTCGGTGCCACAGGCTTCCTGCCCATCCTGCAGCTCTGGTACAGCCACGGCCGTGACTTTGTGGTCGAGTTCTACTCGCCCATTGGCAAGTCCATCATGGTGTACCTCGTCGGCGCCATTGTCTACGCGAGCCAGATTCCCGAGCGCTGGTGGCCTGGATGCTTCGACTACATCGGCGGCAGCCACAACCTGTGGCACCTCGCTGTTCTCGGCGGCATCTTGTTCCACTACAGCGCGATGCAGGCGTTCTTCGAAGGGGCTTTCCGGAGGGCGGAGCTCGAGTGTTCCGTCTACTGAGGAGTCGTTGTACGGAGGCATGTGAGATACCGGACCACGTGGAGCTGTCGTGCGGCAAACACGGGAGGGACCCCAGCGTCCCTGCAGGTCATCGCCGCCGCGGACAGCACGGTGGCACCACGTCCGACGCCCGCTGAGAACGCAGAGGATTCCTCAAAATAGGAACGTGGCGGGACCCTAGCACCAAGGTGCAAGCCTGACCCTCGGCGATGACAGCTGTCTGCAGCCTGAACACCAAGAGGGCCAGGAGCCAAGCAGTTTCCCAGCGACCGGCCCTGCCCCTGTGCAGGATGCTCCGGACGAGTTTAAGCGGCGAGTTTCAACAACACTCGGACGAAATGCAGAGGCGAACATGATACACACACGCCCGCCCACGTCTTGTCTCCAAAGCCCAGAAGCAGATGATGAGACGGTGCGGGAATGCCGTCGCCCGTCTGCCTAAGAGGCATGACGCATGGCGTCTATGATACCAACCGCACATAGCATGGCACATACTACTTTTAATGATGTACATATTTTGCATGTCTCGAAGCGCAACCATGAGAGAAGAAGAAGAAAACGTTCATGACTTCGTGTTTTGTACCTGCCCCGTTCCAGCTCTCCCAGCTTTCCATGTCGTGTTGTAGCTAGTGTACACAGTTTTCCCTGCCATGCGTCATAAACAAAGCCGTTCGAATAATACGGTGCATGGATTTCCTCAGTCGTGACCCTCCGTTTCCGCATGTCCGTTGATGATCCAAACCCCAAGAAAACACAAAATAAAAAATAAAAAGACGCCATTTCTGATCATGCAATTCCCATGTCAGGATCGAGCCTGCTGACACGCCCTGACCGCGGCAGCAGCGCCGCATGCTGAGACCTCGTCGCTACAAGGCGTGCGTGACGATGGCGGCGTACGTGTCGTCGGGTATCCGCTCAATGATCCAGAGCGTGCGCTCAATGACCTTGTCGGCCTGCAGGGACGGGAAGGCCCTCAGCAACCGGGTTGGGACTTGCCCTCTCGTTAGCCATTTTCCTCATCTCGCTGTGCGGGGTGGGGGGGGAGGGGATAATCAACGGGGCAAAAGGGGGGAGAAAAGAACCAACCTCGGCGAGTTGAGCAGCTGGTCGCGCATGCCCATGAGCTGGGCGACGATGCACAGGATGTTGAGGTGCGGGCCGTAGGCGAACAGAAAGTCCCAGAGGCGCAGGACCTCGGGCAGGGGTGGGGTGCAGGCGCAGAGGGTGAGGACGCTCGGGAAGGCGTAGAGCTCGGCGGTGAGGCCCTTGGCGAGGAGGTGGCCGCTGAGGCGCGAGTCGACGGTGGCGAGGACGCGGGTCGACGAAGGGCGAGGCCCTTGTGGGACGCCGTCCAATGGCGCCCCCGGATGTAGCCCGGGCACTCGCGCGTCAGGAGGGTGTGCAAGGCGACAAAGGCCTCGCCCTCGGAGCGCGCGGCGTAGAGAAAGGGCGCCGCCAGCACGTTCATGCCCTGCACGTAGGTGCCAGGCTCGGAGGCGAGAGCCGGGTCGGTCGAGGAGCCCTCGGTCGTCAGGGTCAGGGCGCGGGCGCGGTGCTTGGCAGCCGGGGAGGATGTGATGCCTTGCTGCTGCTGCTGCTGGCCCGACGACTGGGGCCGGGAGTGGGAGGTGGAGGGGCGGGTCGTCGGGGTGGCGGCCGAGGAGGAGGAGGCGATGCTGTCGCGCGTCGGGGGTCGGTCCTTGAGGCGCTGGGCTTCGCGCGCGTCGTGCAGCTTCCAGGCGATGGCGTTGAGGAGGCGGATGAGGGAGGCCTCGCTGACGCGGCGGCGGAAGAGGGGGTCGGTGGTGAGGGTGCGGAAGGTGTCGTTGCGGATCTTGGCGTAGGCCGGGGAGGCGCCGCGGTGGATGAGGCCGAGGTATTCGTCCGTGGGGAGTATGTGGGTGTCGAGGAAGATGAGCCAGGCGTAGATGCGCAGGTTGGACATGCCGTCGGCGTCGCTCTTGATGCCCTCGCTGAGGACCTTGCGGCGGGCGGCGCTCAGGGCCTCGGCAGCGTCCTCGTCGGCGCCGGGCCCGTCACGCACGAGCTGAGCGAGGGGCACCTGGGCGTACTTTGGATTGAGGCTCAGCATGCCGCGCTTGTTGGCAGCCATGGGGTTGACCTGGGCGCCCAGGGACGTGGCATCGCTGTTGGCGCGCCCGCGGGCGGGGGAGCGCGTGTTGTGGGCGGTCGGGCTGCTGAGATCCCGGCGCGTCGGGGAGATATTTCGCTGGTGAAGGCGCTGTTGCGCGATGAGGGAGGGACCGCTGGCCGCTTTCGACCCGAGGTTGTGGGCGGACTGAAGCTTTCGAAGGGCGCGATGTGTTCGTGGAGACGGCGGCGGCAGGAGGTCTGTCGTGTGGGCCGTGACGAAGGCGGGCAGGGACTCCTTGGTGGGACTCGGACTCGGCATGGTGGGCGAGGGCGAGGGCGATGGCGATAGGATGGGACAAGGACGGCGACGGTGCGACGATGGTGTTGTGACGAGAAAGAAGCTTCGCACCACCGCGCAGTCGTGGCACACTTGCGTGGTGGACGGGCGGTGGATGACGGCGGACAACGGTGGAAGAGGAGGTTGGTGTTGCTGGTGGGACCTGGAGGCTGCTGTATGTTTGTTGTACCTGGCCTAGCGCCAGGCGGTGGTGGTGCAGGATGCTGTGCACATGTGGGCTCGCGTCACTGGCTCTTGTTGCCAGCGATGTAGGTGGGTTAGAGTCGTGCCTCCTGGTGTTCGTAGATGTATTTGTCTGCGGCAGAGCGCCGACTGATCGTTCCCAGCAAGATAGGCAGGTTGCCTGGCAACATTCCCATGAGCCATGCAGAGCCGTTGATGGAGATGGGGTGGCTGGAGCAGTTACAATTGATTGTGTCTTTCACTGGCCTGGCTTGGCTTTGGCTTGACGGGCCGCGCATGGGCCATCAGCCTCGACAACGGTCGGTTGTCCTTCACCGACTCGGTGTGGCTGTGCCATGACCACGAGCTTGGTTGGTGAGTGACGGGAGGTATCGCAGGCGCTGAACACAACATGTTGCGTCCCAGATCAGGAGTGACTACATCCATGTGTCTTCCTCGAGGGCACAGGATGAGAACTGTTCCTGACAGCCCGCGGCATGGCTGACTGTGGCATGATTCGTATTCGGTACCCCTACCTGTCGAGTATCAACGAGCCTTGGCCAGCAGTAGCCGTCTCTTCAACGGCCACCCTGCTATCACCATGATGGCCAGAAACTCGCCCTTCATTGGCGAAGAAAAGCCATCCTTCTAAAACGAAGCTCTTGAGGGGCGAAGCTCAGCGCCAGCGATATCCCACGTCTGCCTTGCTAACCTCACGCTCACGGCAAGATCGGAAAAGATTGATCCATTGGGCCATGATAGTAAGAATGGCGCAAGCGCTCCCCTTGTCTCGAAAAACAAGGGTCTCGGGTTCGCGATGCCGATGATTGCACCTGTTGGTATGGCCTGGCTGGTGTCGTGCCCGATGCTGCTGAGCTCTGAGACCGGCGCTTCTCTTGGTCTTCGTCCGCTACGGCTCATTAGCTCGGCAGCCACAGACTTTGACGATCCTCCAGTAGGGCAGTTCGACCGAGACTCGAGATGAGATGTCCAATGTCGTCCTGCCCAATCGTGCGGCTACTGGCTCCCCTGGTCGGTGCCTTGCCTCTGTTCAGCCGCCATCTCAACAACCGGCGAAAGATGTCTGAACCCTGGACCAAGTGTGTTAAGGCGCCGCCCAACCCCCACCTACACCGTGCTGTAGCGTAGCGCGTTCCGGCACTGGTGATCCGGCGACGTGCACCTGAGGGTATTCCCTTATCTTGATCTCATACTCTTAGCCATCCCGTGGGGCTGGAGGCTACCGAGATTTGGCAGAGCAGGCACAGTCAAGGCAAGTCAAGTGTTGTGGATGGCTCCAGGATGGTTGCGGCGAAGCTGGGCACGCTTGCTTGTCTAACGGCACGTGATCCTTCAGTGGTGTGAGGTGGCAAGGGTGGCTGTTTGCGCTGTGTCTCAGGCTGGGCCACACCAAATCCCCAAAAGCCCATCAACTCTGCGCAACTCCAAAAGATCACGGATGACCAGCAAAATGTTCGCCGTCCTTTGGAGTGCATCGCAATTCTCTGTGACTGACGACTGAACGAGGGTGATGCAACCAAAACATCAGACGCACGTGGCTTTTCACACGAGATTCGTCCTTCCACAAACATCGCTTCATGACGCGTCGGCCACTCGCCGGCCGGTGGGGGTTCAAGGGGTTGTACGACGCGGAATGAGCCTTCGCAACCAGACATCGGCTGCTACCACACAGTCAAGCATGTTGCCATCCCTTCCCAGCAACACAGTCACCCAGAAGCCGAGTTGCCGACCCTTGATGACAGGGGCGCGCTGACGAGACCGGAGCATGGCGCAAGATGCGGAAAGGCTCTGTAAGCAAGTTCTGGGTGGCAGCACGGATATAGACAACATCATTCAGTACCCACAAACGAATCACCTAGGGCTCTCGGCGTCGCCCCTCTGTGGTAGCCAGGCACTCGTTGTGCGTTATAAGGTTATGTGGAAGAAAGCCGCCCTAAAGTGACCGACTCTCGGAAGCTCCGCAGAAGCTATCCCCACGGTCCTGTCCTATGGCATCATCTCCAGGGTTGAGTTACATCATAGCGGAAGCTCAAGATGATTGGAGGGGCGCCAGGCCTGCACCTGTTGTCTTGGTTGTTCAGGCTCATCCAGGTCTGTTCAGCTTACGACACGGCATCGACGAGCTTCGATTGGAGCAAATGTCTTGGATTGAGCGGGTGGGGGGGGGCGTCCATACATGCAAACACGGTACTTGGCCCGTTTGCGCGCGACTCAGCTTCACGTACCAACAGGTTCTTTTCTCTGGGGCCCTTTGTTTGGGTCTTCTTCAGCGAGAATCCATCAAGAACCTTCGACCGTTGCCCACTATTCTCCACCCGAAAAGTACCACCTGGGGGGGAGGGGGGGCGGCCGTGGCGATCGTTGCTAGGCTTTGCGGTGGGCGAGCCATGCCATGTCATGTCCTTCTAGCGACCAACCGGCGGCAGGCAAAGGCAGAGAGGCAAGGCTCCCAAACCGAGCCGTGATGTTCCTCATCACCTGCCACCATCATCCCACCCCATGTCTCTCGCCAGCACCTGCGACTCACCACCAATTGCCCCCACGAACAGAGGGCCTTCATGCGGCATTTGACGCTTTGGGATGACAGCATAGGAATTGTTTGCCATGGGCATTCAAGCATCGACTTGGCTTCCGACTTACCCATGGTCCCGTCCGTGAGAGGGGCCGCTAAACTTGGTACGGTCAAGCTTCGATTGCGACATCGACTTCGTCCCCGAACCTCGACCGGCAGCAACGTCAACGCGGAACATTTTACGCCCCAAAACAGTCAGCCATGTCATCCCACCCACAGCTCGAGGCAAAGGTACTTCACCTCGTGTCTCTGCTTCCCATGATGAAGAATCATCAAGCCGGCACCAGTCTATTTTGCCTGCACGTTCTGCCTGTGTGAACCCGTCCGTCCTCCCCTTTACCTACTACTTCTTCTACCTCCCTCCTTCTCTCCCCCGCTGCCGTGCACTGCTTGCCGTCTGCTTCATACACCCAGCGGATTCTTTTTTTTTGGCATTCAGTTTTGTTGGCTCGCCTTGTTCTTGGCATTCATCATTTCTTCCCCATTCAGCCTGGCGCCCGCCTCTCTGTCCCGGTCGCCCACGCGTGTAAGTCACGGGAGATCGACCACATCTCTCCGGCCTGGCAGCGCATAAAGGACCATCATTGCAACTCTCGTCACTTGCGCCCGACACCCCCGAGGTGTTTGCCGTCTCGCCGCCATGACGAGCACGCGAACCAAGATCGGCCACGGCCTGGCCAAGGTCCTGGGCATCAAGCTCCAGGAGAACGAGCCACAGGAGGAGATGCTTCGCGGCGAGTCTGTCATATCCACTCAGAGCTTCGTTGAGGAGCAGCCCACGTCGGCCGAATGGCTTGCCGAGCTGGTGCCCGACGCCGAGTTCTGCAGGAAATACGTCAAGTCGCTGTTCCCCTTCATCAACTGGATCGGCTACTACAACGTCGGCTGGCTCATTGGCGACTTGGTTGCCGGTATCACCGTTGGCGCCGTCGTCGTGCCGCAGGGCATGGCCTACGCACTGCTTGCGAACCTCGACCCGGAGTTTGGCCTGTATTCCTCCTTCATGGGTGTCCTCATCTACTGGTTCTTCGCCACGTCCAAGGACATCACCATTGGTGTAGGTTTTCCTCTTCTGTCTTCTGTAGCAAGCTGGTGGTTTTCGTGCGACGACAGATGCTGACAGAGTCTTAGCCCGTCGCTGTTCTGTCGACCGTCGTCGGCAACATTATCAGCAGGACGCGTGACGAATTCCCGCAATACGCACCCCATGAGATCGCCTCGGCCCTCGCCATCATATCTGGCGCGATCGTGCTGTTCATCGGCCTCATCCGCATGGGTTGGATCGTCAACGTCATCTCTCTCACGTCCCTGTCCGCCTTCATGACCGGTTCGGCCATCAGCATCGCTGTCGGCCAAACGCCCACCATGATGGGCATCAAGGGCTTCTCGACGAGGGAGGCTACCTACAAGGTCTTCATCAACACCTTGAAGGGCCTGGGCCGCACGAAGATGGACGCCGCGATGGGCCTGTCAGCGTTGACCATGCTGTACGTGATTCGCTCCGCCTGCTCGTACGCCGCCAAGAGGTGGCCCGCTCGCCAGCGCCTCTTCTTCTTCCTCTCTACCCTGCGCACCGCCTTTGTCATTCTGCTGTACACCATGATCAGCTGGCTCGTCAACATGAACAGGCGCAAACACCCTCTCTTCAAGATCCTCGGCAACGTGCCGCGAGGCTTCCAGGACGTCGGTGTGCCTCGCATGGACCAGGGTCTCATCTCCGCTTTCGCATCAGAGCTTCCAGCCACCGTCATCGTCTTGGTCATCGAGCACATTGCCATCTCCAAGTCGTTCGGCCGTGTCAACAACTACCAGATCGACCCTTCCCAGGAGTTCGTGGCCATTGGTGTCACCAACATCTTCGCCCCTTTCCTCGGCGGTTTCCCCTCGACAGGTTCTTTCAGCCGAACGGCCATCAAGTCCAAGGCCGGTGTCAAGACGCCGTTTGCTGGTGTCATCACCGGTCTCGTCGTGCTGCTCGCCATCTATGCCCTGACTGCCGTCTTCTTCTACATTCCCAGCGCATCGCTCTCGGCCGTCATCATCCACGCCGTCGGCGATCTGATCACGCCCCCGAACACCGTCTACGGATTCTGGCGCGTGTCCCCGCTCGAGTGTATCATCTTCTTCATTGGTGTCTTTGTCACCATCTTCTCGTCTATTGAGAACGGCATCTATGCCACGGTCGCCATCTCGGCTGCCATGCTCTTCTGGCGAATCCTTCGTGGCAGGGGCCGCATCCTTGGCAAGGTCAAGATTCACTCCGTGATTGGCGACCATGTCATCGGCGAGGACCACCGCCAGATCGTTGGCGAGTACGGCACCTTCGACCCTCAGGACAACGCCGCTCGCAACGTCTTCCTCCCCGTGGACCACGGCGACGGCTCCAACCCCGAGGTTGAACTCGATAACCCCTATCCCGGTATCTTCATCTACCGCTTCTCCGAGGGCTTCAACTACCCCAACGCTGCGCACTCGCTCGAGTACCTCGCCGACTACATCTTTGCCCGCACGCGCCGCACGAACCTGGAGACGTTTGACAAGCTCGCCGATCGCCCCTGGAACGACCCTGGCCCCTCTCGCAAGGCCACCAAGGCCGCGGCGCAGCGTCAGGCCGTCGAGGGCCGCCCGACTCTCAAGGCCGTCATTCTCGACTTCAGCTCGGTCAACAACGTCGACATCACGTCGGTCCAGCAGCTCATCGACGTCCGCAACCAGCTCGACCGCTACGCGTCCCCCGACGTCGTCGACTGGCACATTGCCTGCATCAACAACCGCTGGACCAAGCGCGCCCTCGCCGCCGCGGGCTTCGGCTACCCGACCGAGAGCCACTCGGGCATGCAGCACCGCTGGCGCTCCATCTTCAGCGTCGCCGAGATTGGCGGTTCCGACTCGGCCGCCGCCGTCGCCGAGAAGCAGGCCAACCAGCGCGAGTTTGCGTCGCAGCTCAGCCGGGCCGCCGACGAGGAGGCGGCGCTCAAGCTCGCCGAGGACGACGACGAGCCGCGCAAGGCGAGCGGGTCGGCTGACCGCAGGACGAACGTGCACGTCGGAGCGAAGAGGCGCGGCGTCGTCGTGCACGGCCTCAACAGGCCGCTGTTCCACGTCGATCTGACGAGCGCCATGCAGAGCGCCATTGCCAACGTCGAGGCCAGGGAGGAGCATGTCCAGGCCCAGATTCAGGACAAGGTGCAGGACTCGTCGACGACGCAGTGAGGGAAGGGATTTTTAGCAGCAGAAGCATTCGTCATCATCATGGTTGCATTTGCATGGGATCGGCGTTTTATACTTGATGACCGTGGCCAAGGAGCCCGAATTGACTCGTCTTTTTTTCTTGCGCTTCAGGAAGTGGTGTACGTGATGTGAAATGATTTCCCATTCTGTTGACAAGATCCTCCTGTCTCGAATCCTTTCCTTGAGAGAGAGATCTAGAGATTCGACGCAGTTGGTCATATCCAGGCCACGAGCATGATGGACCACACCTCAGCCCGTGTCTCTCCAGTCCCTGCCTGCCAGCCCACGAGGCTAGCCAAAAGTGAGGGTTCGACCCCCCAATCCGATCAAACAAGACCAAACATCCTGCAGCCTGTAATCGTAGTAAACGATGGCAAAAGAATTGGAACTCCCCGAGACAGGATCGAACTGTCGATCTCCCGATTTGCCAAGTTGTTGTCTTAACAGTCGGACGCCTTAACCAGCTGGGCCACCAGGGATTGTTGATGTTCGACCGGTTGTGGTGGTGGGTACAGGTAGGGCTCGAGGCGGGGAAGCAGGCTGGAGAAACAGAAGAAATGGCTGAATGGGGCACAATTGGGGGGTTCCTCCGGGTGTGGGCACTTTTGGGACCAGGCCCGGCGGCTTCTGGCTCCCATTTCCCTATTCGGCAGCTTCACTTTGGGTTCGTGCAGGGAGCTGGGGCACTGAAGTCTACTCCAGGAGAGAGGGGGAGAGAGGGAGAGAGAGAGATAGAGAGAAAGAGAGAGTGAGTGAAAGGGAAAGACAAACAGCCAGTGGAACGGTCTGCTGACCATCAGCATCAATGTCAAAGTGCACAAAGGCCTGACCAGGCCTTCTGCACCAGACGCTGGTCAGTCGGGTATGGTATGGCAGAGGGCGAAAGACAGCGCCGCCAGGGACGGCCTCGGGACGGGAAGCGCAAGGTGCCTCTGAGTTTCTATGACTGCCGCTCCGGGCAGGGCCAGAATGCTGCCTTGAATGGTGGCATTGCTCCCTCAAATGGGCGACCAGAGTCAATAACGCCTTCCCTCGGACTGCCCATGGGCTGACCGTCTCGTCATACATCGCCAGACCGTCCTTCTAGTTGGCTGACTTTGCATGTTCTCACGTGCAAAGCCCAAGAGGCGCGCATTCAGCCTTCCCTTGACGCCGGCCAATGCGGTCTCTCAAGCGGCCCTGTGGCCTCTGTCCCGGATCGCGAGGGCCCCCACCAAGCCAAAGGCCTCGAAACGCGCAGCTCCGCGATGGGAATTGGGTGGCCTGGCGGCCCAACGCCTCGTGTACTCTGGCGACCCATGAGACGTCCCGCCCACAGACAAAGACATTGTCCTTTGAATGGCAGCCGCTGGCTCCTTCCGGCACTGGAAGGGGGGCGGAGGGCGGAGGGCGGCCCCGATCGCCATCAGGTCGGAGGGGGGGCAACCAGTCTGGCGGGATGGCCCCCAAATAGAAACAAACGTGTCACGGTGCGTCAAACATGAGGGGGGAAGCGCGATAGACGCCTCGGTGTGCACCACCACCCGTCAGAGTCGAGGAGAGGGCGGCGTGCCGATCTGAATGCTGTCACGATAATGAACAAGCCCGGCAGCCGCGTTGGCCGGCATGGGAGGCCGCCAGTCGAGGTACACATGGTATCCAAAGGGCAGTTGGGATTGAGGCCGTCGACGCTTTCGAGTCGAAGGGCAAGCAAGAGGGCGACATGACGACGTGGTGTTCGGAGGCGCCGGTAGGTGCCTGGACTTGGCCTGTGACTGTGTGTACAAGTGTAGCAAGCTAAGGTGCGTAGAGAGGTAGCGAGCCTTGGGGGAGGGGGTGGGTTGCTTCTCTTGCCTCAAGTCAAGTTAGATCACTCTTCCAGCACAGCCTCGTGGGCCCCTTGTCACTTGACCAGCAGACGCTGCGAGGTCGGAAGGATGGAAGGATGGAAGAAGAGCCATGTCGGTGTACACTGATGTGTGTCGAAGGCGACGAGGAAGAATGCCTCAGGAGCTTCAGGTGCCTCAGGAAGTCCCTCGGACGGCGAGGGGCACAGTGAGGCCCTGGTGCTAGCAAGTCTGGCCG